AGTAAAAGAAAAATTCTTTCATTGTTTTATAAATCCTCCCCGAGGTCCACTCCACCATGTAGCCTTCACTCTAGACTCCTGTCATGACAAAAATACCTAATCACATATCCCTTTTAAACAGTTTTCTCCCTCATCTGTTTCAATGCAGTAACTCATTTATCAATGCGGCGTAGTAGTCCACTGTGTGAATTTCCCACAGCTTCTCTACCCATTTGCCTGTTGATAGGCACCCGGGTTGTTTTCCAACTCCCTGCTACTGTGAACAAAGCCACGATAAACATGAGTGCGCAAATATCTGCTTGGGTGGCAGTTATGGTCTCTTTGGGATATATTCCCAGTAGTGGAATTGCTGGGTCAAACAGTATCTCTATTTGTAACTTTTTGAGAACGCGCCATACCGCCTTCCACAGTGGTTGTACCATTTTACACTCCCACCAACAGTGAATAAGGGTTCCAGTTTCTCCACACCCTCGCCAGCATTTGTTGCTTGCATAGACTGATTGTTTTGATCATGTAAGAAGCAGCCCATGCAAATGTGCAGAGACCAGGGTTTGATCAGTGATCACAGAGCCCTGGGGACAGAGTGAGAAGAGATCGTCGAGGAGGCATGTGTGTTCACTGCGATGGTGTGAGTGCCATGATCTGATTAACATCCTGTGTGCTCCCAGCAGCGACTTCCCACTACTCACCAGAAGGTGGGCACGTCAGACCCACCCAGAGGCACCGGGAGCTGCTGGTTGGCCTCTGAAAGAACACAGCACCTGAAACCCGTGGGAGCAGTTCCACCGCTCAGACGTGGGGTCGCTGCAAGTCGGACTCGATTCTAGCCGACAGCAACAGACTGTCCAAGTGATAAACAGTGGCTTGGGGAGTGTCGTGTTGAGCTGTGTATCTCTCCACCAGGGACACATACAGCCCCCTCTACACACAGGGAGTCATACACAGACACCACAGAGTGGTCTGTCCATCAGGACCTCCTGAGAATCAGCCCTCGCTTTCCTCTGCAGCTCTTTGTGGTCTGTTTTCCCAGGGGAGGGCAGGAGCTCTGGGGCCATGTCTACACAAGCAGAGATTATATGGGGCCTCTTGGGGAAGAAGTGGGAAAAATTTATATATACATGTTTGGAAAAAACTAGTGGATTTGTTTATCTAACAAATAACTAGTATTTCCAAAGCCAGTACTTGGTGGTCTGATGAAATGGCCTCACATGAGAACGGCTTTGGCCAGGCTCAGTCACTCCGCTGAGGATAGGTGTGTGCTCCAGCGTCTCCTGTGGTGCCCGTGGGACAGTCCCGGTGGGAGCAGGGAAGACTCTGGGAACCAAGCCCAGCCCCGGAGGGCACTGGGGCCTGCTGAACACCAGAGAGCTGAAGCCGAAGCAATGTGAGTTGGCTCTAGTGATCTTTTGTATTTAGGTTTCAACAGTGGCAATAAAATTAACAGGCAAGTAGCTGTACAAATGGAAAAAGAAAAACCGAAATAAAGCAGTGGGGGTTTTTGTTAACCACCATTTAATTTGAGCCTGATGTGTTAAGAACACCAACGAAAAAGGAACGTGTGGTAAGCAAACCCGTGTGTGTACGCCATGCATGAATGCATCTACTTGGTGACAAGCACAGCACGTGGTCATTGTGGTCCCAGCAGCCCAGATGAGTCAGGATGTGGCCCTGAGTGGAGGTTCTCCGAGAAAGGGTTCTGTGTTGAACCCAGGTGGCCGGGACCAGGACCCCACCATCCTCTGTCATCGGCTAGAACAGCCTGGGAAGAGTGTAGCCACTGGGGGTGTTGGTCGGCTACCTCTCTTACCTCTCTTAACAGGCCGTCTGTAAGGGGAGACCCCACACAGACTCCAGAATGTCCCTTCCTGGGCGCGCTAGTCCTGAGCCAGTCACATGCCAGCAAGAGCCAGGCTTTCCCCTCGATCCCTCTGACTTAACAGGACATCTGCTGTGTTAATCTCGTCATCTCCCACCTGCCTGAAGGTAGCGCCCGGCACCACCTGCTTGCCCACCGTCACAGATGCTGCTATGTGGGGACAGCACCTACTGAGAAAGCTGAGCTCAGCCTGCTCAGTGGCCCAATGGCTGGGGTAGCACCAGCGCCTCACCCAGGAGCTGCCTGAGGGCCTGTGTCCTCTCATCTGCATTGGCTCACCAGTCTGGACCTCAGAGAGTTAACCAGAGCCAGCAGCTGTTCTAAGTGTCTTCAAGACACACTGTGCCGGCCCCAGAAGCACAGAGACAGGGTCGTACCTTATTAAAAATGTTTTTCCTCGTCCTCTCTGGGTTTGGTGCTTTGCGGCGCAATGGCCAAACGCACCAAGAAAGTCGGCATCGTCGGTAAATACGGGACCCGTTACGGTGCCTCACTCAGGAAGATGGTAAAGAAAATTGAAATCAGCCAGCATGCCAAGTACACTTGCTCCTTCTGTGGCAAAACCAAAATGAAGAGACGAGCTGTGGGCATCTGGCACTGTGGTTCTTGCATGAAAACAGTAGCTGGTGGCGCCTGGACCTACACCACCACCTCGGCCATCACGGTGAAGTCAGCCATCAGAAGACTGAAGGAACTGAAAGACCAGTAGAAGTTCCCCCATTTGAAGCATCTCTAGCCTGTAATAAATGGGTTAATTTATGTAAAAAAAAATGTTTTTCCTCCTTTCTTTCTCCCTGATTTTTGTGTGTGAGATCTATGCTTTTTTTTGTTCAACACGGATTTCCCCCTTAAGCATCTGTGGAAAGAATCATGAATGGGGCCAGAACGCGTGGTAGCTTTCTAGAATAGCAGACCTGTCTGATTGACTCCAGCACGCTGTCCACAGGCGTGCCCAGGGCACCAGGCTGTGTTGTGGGTGGCTAGTGTCCAGCTTGCTCTGCTAAACCCCAGCTTAGGGTGGAGGAGTCGGCACAGGATCAATAGCATTGCAGATTCCGGGTTCAAGACCCAGAGCTGACCAGCTTACCAGCTGTGCTGCTTGGGTAGGAATTCATTCAAGGTGGAATGAGAGGATGCCGTGGACGCTGCGGGGCCACGGGTGCACCACGGTCGCCCGCCTCGGGGCCTCGTCAGTCCTGATGAACCACGTTTACCACCGGCCACCAGCGGTCTTTGGCTGCTTGGTTTTTGGGGGTGGTTGGTGTCGTTTGCATCTTTTCATTAACAGTACCCCACTGCGTAACTGCTTATGTCATCACGTGGATGTACACCTCATGTTTCCTGCCTCCAAAGACAAAGATCAGACATGGGGAAGTTCTGGTAATTAAAGGCCACAGTAACGAAAGCGTTGGGAGAGATTCCACTTACACGCAGCCAGCTTAGGAAGGGGCCGTCTGGATGGACCCGGCTGTCCGTACTCTGCAGTAGCTCGTCGACCGCTGACCGAGGCAGTGCGGCCCTCAGGCCCTCTGCAGCCCTGGGGGCTGGCGCCACAGGCCAGCAGAGGTCCGTCCGGTCACTGACACCCACTTCTTTCCAGAATTAATCCGTTCTGTAACCCAGGAGCCACGGGGGGGCCAGGACTGGGAGCTTAGTCAGATACTTCCTTCCCTGTTTCCTTAACTATGCTGAGGTAAACCAGTGTGCTTTTTCCTAGCTCTCTGGTCTCCTCGATGTAATACTCCGTTGGCTACAGTCAAGGCGGCAGCGCTGTTTGCTGCTGGATTGGTTGGCCTTGAATTGCTGGACTTTGCAAGGGGTTTCCCGTCCATCAGCTGTGGCCATCCAGCCTCCCTTTCTGATCACAGTGGGTTACACGAGGCTGCTGTGAAAGGTTTATGGTCCGACCAGTCGCTCCAAGGCAGACGTTGCCAGTGAAAATCCACGGCCTCGGGAACCATGTGTGGTTCTGCCCTGGCCGGGACAGTGGCCTGTACAGTCCCTCCGAGGTGGAGTTGATCTGAAGGCCATGGATGTATGTTTGGTTTCTCATCCTTCCTGCTTCTCCCTGGTGGCTGGGCACCTGGCCCTCACCGCCTCCTCCTGTCTATTACCTGGGAATGTCAGTGTGCTGGAGTCAGGAGGCAGGTGCTCAAGGTGATTGGATCACAAGCAGCGCAGGGCAAAGTGAGATGCAGGTTGGCTTCCTCTCCACTCGTCCTGCAGAAGCCCCCGAATGTCGAGTCCTCTGTGCACCTCTCCCACTGCAGCGGGACGCCCGGGGGCGGGTGTGTCATTGGCTGTTGGAGGAAAGGTCGTCCGCATCACGTCCTCTAGAATCAAAAGTGGCTGGAGATTACAAATTTAGTTACTGAATACCTGTGGGAGCTTGTTTCTAACTTCCTTTTATGTCTCATCCACACTTTCCAGATCTACAAAATGGGAAAATATTTCATCAAGTGTGACACAGAGGTTCTTTAATACATTATCTTATTTTAGAAGGTGCTTAGAATTTTTTAACCCATTTTATTGTGATTGAAGTGACAGTTTAGAAAGCAAACTGGTTTCCCATTCAGCAGCGCTTACACCTTTTTAGTTGAGACGTTGAGTGTGATCTGCAGAGTGTATCGGTGTCTCCCCACTTCTGTGTGTTTCCTGTTTCCACTCTTCCTTTTTCCTATCCCTTCCTGCCTTCCGGGCTTTCTTCCTGGGCAGATGCTGCCCTGTTGGTCTCGTGGGGTTGATTGCTTCAGGGAATGCGTACCATGCTGGCATTACTGCTCACCCAAAGGCTGGCTACTGTTTGGCTTCTGGAACATTATAGACACTTGACAGATGTAATCCCTTTCCCATCCCATTGCCTTTCCCTGAAAGCAGAGCTGTGGATCATTCCAGGCTGAAGACAGTGTTGGCACCCAGCCTCCTCTCCACGCACCCCGGTCGCTGGAGAATGAAGGCACGTCATGCCCCAGGATAGCACTCGCTGTCAGACGGGTGGGGGCTCTGCCTGTTAGCACGTTTCCTTCTGCCAAGGGGCAGCTGGCCACCTTCAGAAAGGGGCAGAGCCGGCTCCGTCCCTGGCAGCTGTGACTCACACGTACGTTTCTTCTCGGTCCGCAGTGAACAGAGTATCTGCCAAGCTCGGGCGTCCGTGATGGTCTACGATGACACCAGTAAGAAATGGATACCAATCAAACCTGGCCAGCAGGGGTTTAGCCGCATCAACATCTACCACAACACTGCCAGCAACACCTTCCGGGTCGTGGGAGTGAAACTACAGGACCAGCAGGTGAGTGCAGCGGTGTCAGAGCCCAGCATGGCGCGCACCGGACATGATGGCATCACACACATGCGAGTGTCCACGTACAACACAGGGTGGAGAGAGGTACCGGACATGCGTGCTTACACACGCGCACACACACGTGTCCACGTACAACGCAGGGTGGAGAGAGGTACCGGACATGC